CAGGTTGAGTTCCGACATATTTCGTCAGTAAAAACTCAAATATAATCACCTCAATGTATATTTAATCCGTTTTAAAAGTAAAATCTTTATTAAAATCTAATTTATCACTTTTTTAAACGGTATATCACTATAAGTGTAAGATAGACTCTTAAAGCAAATTTCTTCTTCTTTTCAACTATAAAAGAATTATCAAAATCGGTCGAAAAACGATTGAGTTATTTGCACTTTTCTCGATCAATGTCAAGTCAGTTGGTCCGCCATATTGGATGGCAGCCATATTGGTACTCGACCACAGCCGATCGTGGCAACATGCGTTTTCTTACTGTCCAAAGTGTCCTTAACAACAATCAAAAGAGAAAGTGCGTCCGAATAATTTTGCATACTCAACCCCAACCCCGGCCTGGTCTAACATGGGGTTTAATTTGTTTACATCTTTTGAAATTAAAACAGCTGTGCCACAGATTTGTATTAGTTGTATTTCTGAAAATCTGTGTACTCATAGCCTTTGATATAGATACCAGCTGTACTTTTTATGAATTTCAGTTTGTTTACTACAAAGTTTGTTTACATAATTTTTAGTTATGGTGATCTATAGTTATCTTATCGTATTTCTTCTTTTCTACCTAAATATAGTAATGAACAACGGAGGAAGGCCGCGTCGCCGAGGTGTTGGCTTTCGAAATCAGCATGACAGACGACAGCGTAGGCGAGAAATTTATAATGAGGAAAGGAATGAACAACCACATCATGACGTCGAAGATACTCCTATTTTTAGATTACCACTTATAAACGAGATACCAACACACAATCTGGGCCTGATGAATGATCAATGTATGCATTGTGGTGCGTTGCACTTTGTTGAAGAGTCTACAAATGGTCACTACAACTCTTGCTGCCATAACGGTCTCATACATCTACCACAACCTGAAAATAACAATGAACCACAACAGTTGTTTAGGAATGGACATTTTATTAAAAACATAAGACAGTATAATAGTGCTATGGCATTTGCCTCACTCTCTACCACGAAAAAAGAAGTTCAAGGCAATGGACCATATTGCTTTAAAGTCCAAGGTTAAATTCACCGTTTTATTTCGGACTTATTACCAGGTGATGAACAAGCCCCTTCATACGGTCAGTTATATTTCATTGATACTGCAGTCGCAAATAATCTTAGACTACAAAGAACCGAAAATAGTGCCCTCAAGTTGGAAATAGTAACTCAATTATTGTCTGACATATTATCAAATAACCCATATTCCCAGACTTAGCCTATAGAAAAGCTAATGAAATGATGACTAATGAAAGCATTAAAAACATTGAACTTCGATTCGTAGACAACATTTCGATGGATATTAGACGATTCAACAGACCTTCCGCAGATGAAATTGCTGGAGTGTTTAATTCAGAAGAAGGTGAACCTCCACACAATCGTCATGTAGTAATTTACAACCGCCAAAGTGGGCCTAAGCTTTTATCAATATTGAGCCCACACTGTGATCCAATGCTATTATAGGCTATCCTTTGTTATTTCCGAGCGGCGAACCTGGGCGGGACGCAGAAATGACTCACAATGGACAACGACGTCAAAGACTGCGTGAGAAGCTTACCATGCTACAGTTCGCCAGCTATAGACTTGCTGTTCGGCCCGGCTTCTCAAATATCCATGCTGCTAAAAAACTATTTCAACAATATATTGTAGATCTATACACCAGAGTTGAAAGTAATAGACTAAATTATATTAGACATCACCAATCGCAGCTTAGAGTGAACACTACCACGGATTGCAAGATTTTGTTTTGAACAGAGCACAACTAGAAAGCGTCACTGCGGGTAAGATTGTTGTGTTGCCATCAACATTTGAAGGTAGTCCGCGTAACATGACTCAACGTTATCAAGATGCAATGGCTATCGTTAAAAAATACGGAAAGCCTGATTTATTTATAACAATGACATGCAACCCTGAATGGACTGACATACTATCTTCACTGAAAGACAATGAAGCACCAGCCGATCGACCAGATATCGTTTCCAGAGTATTTAAATGTAAATTAAATGAGTTGAAAAAGGACCTCCTAAAAAATAATGTATTTGGAAAGGTTATTGCTTTTGTGTACGTCATAGAATTTCAGAAACGAGGCTTGCCCCACTGCCACATACTTTTAATCCTTGACGAAGAATCAAAATTTCGTGAACCAGCCCAAATAGACCGATGTGTTTATGCAGAGTTGCCTAATCCCAATGAGTTCTCAAGTCTCCATGACAAAGTTGAATCAGAGTATATATGGCAAATACAAGAGAACAGAACAATACAGAAAACAATTCATATACAAAAAACATAGTTTATCCAGAGGTTCTGACTAATTATCAAATGCAATAAGTAAGTAGTGATTTCTATTCATGTAAATAAAACTTGAATTAAACCAAATTTTAATTGTTTTTTATGCTAATTATTTTCAAAATAAAAAAGTTTACTGTTTTAGAGGCTATTGTCCCTACAAACCACCATTTAAATGTAAATGTATCTACTGTATATAATATATTGTATACATTTTGTGTTGTAAACTATATTATAATGCTAGAAAATCAGTGCTTATTTATAAATGACCAATGAAGGTTGATAAAAAATTTATGTATTTTGGTTTTTAGGGGCTTTTGCCCCTACAAGCCCCTAGTAGGCTATATAATTCAGTATTTTCTCACCACTATAAATTTGGAAATCACTTAGATTATTGCCAATATCTTTTAAATGGAGGGGAAATCGACCAAAGTGAATGGGATATTCTGAAATAGAATAAAATTTACTACATATAACTACTATGCATTTCTTGAAAATACTTAATAAAGACAGCCAAAAGCTGGCTACAAATAGAATCTTGAAAACAGAAACTTGAAAAAAACAGTTTTTAATGTATTTTTGTAATTTTTACTTTTTCACCACAAATATTTAATAAAATCACAATTTTAGAATTATTTGCAAATCTACATGAGTTAGGCTTTCTAATGACCCATTAATTAACAAAATCGGTCCAGTAGAAGTCTAGATTTAGTTGTACAAAGTTTAACAAAAATATCCCTAACTCAGTATTTTCTCATTACTATAAATTCGGAGGCTGCTTAGCTTTTTTGCAAATAACTTTTAAATTGTGAGGAAATTGACTAAAGTGGAAAGTGATATTCTGAAAGGGAATAAAATTTCCTACAAATTGATACCATACACTTCTTGGAAACACTAAAAAAAGGCAGCCTAAAGTCTCACCCAAATAAAAGTGTGAAAAACACCGTTTTCAATGTATTTCTTATGGAAAACATGTTTTTTTTTTATTATTCACCATAAACCAAAACAAAAACTAACTTTCATAATAATTTGCCAATCTACACGAATTAAGCTTTCCAACGACTCATTAATTAATAAAATCGGTCCAGTAGAACTCTAGATTTAGTTGTACAAAGATTTTTAAAACTGAATTATATAAAATAGATAGATTTATATATATATATATACGTCCGTGAACGCGATAACTTGAGTAATTTTTGTCTGATTTTGATGAAATTTGGGTTAAAGGTGTAAGGCGGGATAAACTTGAACGAGTTCGCGAACCAGCATGATCGGATCATGGGAACGGGGATTTACGGGGGGGTTTTAGTGGGTAAAAAATGGTTTTTCTCATTTTTGACCCTCAAAACACAAAATTTTCCAATTTCTCTCTAGACCTTTTTAAAGAGCTTAAAAACCCAAATAAAAAAAAATAAAATAAATCTATAAGTATAAAAGAGGATGTTTGTATATTTAACAGTGATAAACTCAGACACCGCTGAACCGATTGCCACGAAACTTGGTACATACGTGTAGAATGTCATGGAATAGGTTTATACACCATCAATTTCGTGATCCGTCCAATCGGCTCCGCCCCAGTGGCTCTGGAGTTTCCCATGTTAACCTTATGAGAAATGGAATTAATGAATCTTAACAGCTGTTTCAATTAAACAAGTTGGTTCTGTTCTATGATGTTCAATAGCATTAAAGTTACAAGGATTACCAACAGGGTGCAGCACTATTATTTCTTTTACATTTATGACAACAGCTAATTTGCAACCAAAAGGTGACTGAGCGTAGCGAACGAACTTCAACCTGGAGGCGAGTTAGCGTAGCGAACGAGCTAACCTGAAGGCAAGTGAGCGTAGCGAACGAGCTAACCTGAAGGCAAGTGAGCGCAGCGAACGAGCTCCAACCTAAAGGTGAGTGAGCGTAGCGAACGAGCTCCAACCTAAAGGTGAGTGAGCGTAGCGAACGAACTTCAACCAGGACGTGATTGAGCCATGCGAACGAGATCATCTTGAAAATTAAGAAGTTAAACGTGGCAAAGTCCGTGGGTTATAGCTAGTAATAAATAAAATTTAGTACAAATAATTTAGTATATCAAAGTGTTTTTGTACGGTTATTGGTAACGGAGAAAATTCAAAAAATTGTAAATTTAAAATTCCCTTGTTATTCTTATGGAGAATATTGTAAAATGTCGTAGTTGCTTGTTTATGGATAGTACCTGGGGACCGAGCTTTGCTCGGGAAACTTTATCACTACACTATAACTCTGAGAGTATTCTTTGGTCAATGTAAATCTATCCCAATAATATTAATTTTCTGTCTATTTTTTCTTGACATCTATTTAACTTCTATTAAAATAATAATATCATAGTTTACTGAAATTATGAGATAGAAGAGTTTTTAACAATTTGTTTGGTTCCCCTAAATGGCCCAAACTATAGAAAATACCCAGTATTTTTCACGCACCTTTAGTTTACAATAACTTGTTCTTTCAGTTTAGCTAAACTAAAAGTGGGTGTATTGGACAGAGATCAGTAACTTATATCAGTAAGTATACTCTGTCAGTGCCCCATTAAATTTGACAAAGTAGCACTGGCATACGTAGGCCCAATACGTTGTCACGTAATACGTAACTGGTAATACGTTAACTTTGCTTAATTAACTTGAATATTTACCTGTAGTGGTGTTGTTTACAGGCTGAGACCTCGACTTATCCACAAATAACACCAAGAGACACAAACACACAATTCTCGAACCCATCTTGTCCAACTATACCTCCTGAACTGAAAACTGTTGTCTAGCTTTACTTGTACTTTGTTCCTCAGATAGCGTTGTATCACATTTGACCTTTCAATAAAGACTTTGTATGTTTGTATGTTATTTACGAGTTCGACTGATCTAAAGAGACTTTGGATTGTTCGTGTTAGACTTATACCTAACATTATACTAAGTTTGTAGAATAAGAAGCATTCACCTCAATTGTAGTTTGTTATTGACAGTGTTGTACACTGTACAGAGGGAAACAGCGGAGCACTTGTGCTACTGTGATTTCCGGTGGTTGGTATTTTACATATTATCATTGGCAATTTAAATATTTTTTGATCGGAGTGAGCAAAGCTTTTATACTTAACTACTGCTTTTTTTCAAATACTCCTCCTGAACTTGAAATACTCCTCCTGAAGTGATCCGCATGAAATTTTGGAAAAACAGCCATAATAACCAACTATGGAAAGTTATTAATCTGAAATTATCCAAATCAAATTTAAGGATTTCCCCTCCGTGAAATAAAATTTTATGAAAATGAACATTGGCTAGATTAATGAATAGGTCAACAGAATATACATAACATGTGTTAGTCAACGAATCGCATAAACTACCACATTTCAAATTAATACAGAACGAGGTGTTAGCCCGTCCTACGTACGGGAATTCAGTAGTCAGTTAAAACCGTGTACAATTCAGATCAGCTAGTTTACACATATAAAGACAAAGTTTCTTGCAGTTTTAATGTGAAAAATCATCTTGTAAACAAATGTTGTGTGACTAAATATGTTTTATTCCATCATAATATATACCTGATACGGCCTATACGATATGCATTTTAAATCCGATAACTTTACAGTAAAACAGCAATTCTGCAATTTTTATGATGTGAAAAGCGTTGAAGTGAGGCAGCCGATTCGCACAGACGCACACTGATTATAAGTAGCCTACAGTCACAGAATAGTAGTATGTTTTCTGTGCTACAGTAGAGAGAGTAATAGTCAATTGAGAAGTATATAGTCAACGATACTACCTTCCATAGCATACCTGCCTCTTCATTAATAATTATTATCACCACAATACAACTACTATACACAATTTCCAGTAGGTCTGAATAGAAACGACCTAAAATAAAACGATAATATTCAATAAAATTCACAGTACACATCATTTAACTTTGGTGTACTAACATCAAAACTAATCGTCAAACCTATCCTCAATTTCACTGCATTAATTGCTAAATAAAAAGTGTAAACAAAGAAAAGTAAAAACAATAACAGTTTGTTTTGTAACAGCTGTTTGGTTCAAATAACATCTATATATATAATACGCTAAGCCGATTTTTGTGAACAGAACTCCTCCCTCATTTTTGGACCGATTTTGATGGTTAAAATGTCAAAAGAATTGCCCTGATCTGTAATTTTGCAAAGTGTTTTTAGTTTTTTGATATCTTTATTAGTTTGGGCAGGATCTTTCATCAAAGTTGGATTTTCTCCCATAAGATTAACATGGGGGAATCTAAAAATTTAATTGGAAACTTTGTCTCCACTAATTTGAGAGAACGGCTGGGCGTAGAAACTTGGTAGGGGTGTCAAAAGAAAGGTCTTGGTCTGTAGATGGGTTATCAAAAGAAAAACGAAGTAAATTCCCTTAGGGCTCTGCCCCAGAAGCCTTTAAAGATCCCTCTACAGATTTGTTTACATTTTGGCCATGTGGATAATACTTTTTAATGAAACAGCTGTTAATTTATAAATTGTATTTTAAACAAGACACATTAATTGGGAGTTACTGAATTATTGTCCAAAAGAAGCATTTGCAATGTTATTTTCTGATTTTAAAATTAATTTTTTTCCGTATCATGTTATGTTTTGCAATATATACCATGACGAAATCAGTGGAAAATCCTTTTATCACAGTAATTTTTAAAATTATTTCTTATTGATCTTATATCTATTTTACGGGTTGGTGACTGCCCTTTTCACCATTTTTGTCTTTATTTTTATCATATTGTTCTAGACAGATCATCATAGGTTCATGAGATTATTGTCATACATGTTTTCAATCATTGGAAAAATATTAAATTGTGTATAATACAATACAAAATAATAGCCTACAAGTGCAGAAGGGCAAGGTCCCTATTTGAGCCGTGTCCATATTTTGTTAAATTAATAGTAGCTTACAGCAACCGGATAAAACATTTTACAATATTTATGTAGAAATATTTGCATGATAAATAACGTCATTAAGCTGGAAAACTGCAATATACTGCCGACTTTTCAGAGAGGTTACTTCGATGTATTCATTCAGCTTAGTGAAAACATAATATAAATATGTACCTATACAAATAAGAACTTGAATTCTTAGAGCCTTTGAATGTTATTAGACTAACGAAAAGGGTTGTGCATGTTTACTAGCGCTACTCTGCAACAATAACCATTTAATTTATCTTCAAAATATATATTCTTAAAGTGCACTGATCAGCAGCAAAAAAAATCTATGTAACTTACCCATATGTTATTGAAAATAACACAAAATTTTGGCTGTAAATATGGCCCAATGAGTAAATAATATTTAAGCAGCTACTGTCATGACAGAAAGGTCATATTCCTTTTAAACTAGATCACATCATCCTTTATAAGATACGTTGATTAACAATGCATGTAAACGTCAATATTTACGTAACAGCAAATTTACAGTATTTTTTCTTTTTGGAAATGTCCCATTGCTATGTCATTTGCATTATTTGTTGTCAATGAAGCCGCATATAAATGAGGAGGCCCCTAACAGTTTAAGAATAAAAGCCAACTTCACTTCAAGTATATTCCACTACACCTCACATTCCGTAGAGAGATTATATTGACAACTTGATGTAATTGATATGGCTGAGACAACTAACTGAAATCCCCCATGTCAAGGAATTCCAGCTTTAACAGTAACCCCACAACAAATTTCTCAAAACTGTGATACAGTAGAGGGTTATTCATTAGCACAGAAGTACGATATGAACTGACGCGACGTGACGAAGGAAAAATCAAACTTACACTGTACTGTAATGGATATCTCCCTTTGAAGTTAGAACGTGTCTTCCCAACAAAGAGATATTTTTTTCAAATAAAATCATAGATTAATCTGCATTACACTGATGAAATCACGGAAGTGTTTAACTACAAAAGATCCACCAATACGATTTTAATACTATTTAAAGTTTAATCCAAACGATGAGATACCAGATAAAATACTAATAACTCCGATGACGTACAGTATGGGAGATATTTTATTCATTGAATGATCAACCATATTTGGTAACTATCATTATTGTTTTTACACTTATTAATCTTTAAACAATGCTAAATGCTCAAAATATGTACAATTTCACTCAATTTATCGCAGTTAGATGAATTAGCGTAATCCTTGAAAATAACCGTCGATTTCGACGGGTTTCACCTAGTTCATTTGAAAAAGAGAACTGGTCACATGTAGCAGGAATATAAAAAGTATATAGAATATATAAAGCAGGAATGTAAAGGAATTATACATACACGCTAGTAAAGCTAATGACGTAATTGTCAATGTTTATTATCCATACCGTTATCAGTTCTATCCTTTATAATTACCCACCCTCATTGAATAAATGTACATCGTAATTTTCCATATTAGTTTATTTAAACTACATTATATTCATAGTTAAAATAAAAGTGATATTTTCACGTTTGGGGGCGCTGATATAGGCACCCCCAAACGTAACCACAACTGAACACGATTTCATAAAAGGATTGTTTGTCTAATTGTAGTATCCTGGTCAATGTTGACGTTGTGTTCAATCTATGTCATCCATCTGTTTATCTTTGTATAAAACCCGGCTGAGGTTGTGGTGGTAATTTAAAATCATGATTCCTGATTATTCTTTATCTTCTTTTTGTGACATAAATATTTCCGGGCCTAATCCAAACAAAGTTAAAGCAGACAAACATAATTGTAAACAAAAAGCTACCATGAAGAATTAAAACATGTAAACATTGTTATTTTTCTAATCTTTCCTTGAAAAGTGGAGCAGTAAAATAATTTGCATTTATCCTTTTTTATTTAAGACTCGTGTAAGCCTCGATGTGTACTGTGGTTTAATTAATTTTGGTGTAAACTATTTTAAACTGTGGTCTAATTATCTCTACTAATCTTACTTATTTACTATAATCAATGACAAAATAAGAGTAAATAAAATAACCTCATAGTTCCATAGTTTAACCAGCTGTTAGTTAAAACAAATTATATTGCTCTAAAACAAATCGAAGATTACAAAGATTGCTTTAAAAATAATTTGAACATCCTAGTATTTTACTATGTATATTTAATTAATTTGTCATCCTCTTATCGAAGGATTGAACGTATCAATGATTAGCATTACACATAGTATAATTAAGTCAACCCTTAGTATGTCTTTTAATTTTATCCAAATGCTGAATTTGTGTTACAAACGCTGAATGTTTACAGCTGTTATGTTAAACAAATTATAATACACCAAAAGCTAGTTTAGAATCCTGGCGTCGGCTGCTAGACTTTTCAAAAATTAAAACTTAATTTCTAAATAACTGGGGCCCTAAACTAAAATTACGGCTTCGACATTCCCTAGTTCTCAAAATTATCTTTCTTTCAACACAAAAATCATGAAAATCCGTCGAGTGGTTGATTCAGAATCGTGAAATTAAAAAACACTGTTTCGTTTTAATATTATTGATAGATAGACAAGAGGGAAGAACAATCGAGTTTATATAGTTGAGTAACGAGTAAAGTTGGAATTTTAACAAAAAATTTCTAACTAATAATTAGGGTCGCCGGAATCAGGTAATTGACTTTAGATACTCTAAATAGCGATTCCATTAATGTAAACCGTATATAATTGACTTTTGGTACTGCAAGGAGACAATTCATTTAAGTTAACCATTGATTACCAAACGTATTGTTGAGTTGTGATTCTGTAAGTAGACAATTCTGTTTAAGTGAACCAGCCGTACTATTGAATTTAAATACTGCAAATAGGTGTCTTATTTATGTGAACAAAATATACCATTGACTTTAGATACTCTAAATAGCCATTCCATTAATGTAAACAAAATATATCATTGTCTTTTGATACTGCAAGGAGACAATTCATTACATGAACCATTGAGTACCAAATGTACCATTGAGTTTGGATACGGCAAGTTGACAATTATTTTACGTAAACCAAATGCAGCATTGAGTTTGGATACTAAAAGTAGACATTTCATTTACATGAACCAGACGTATCATTGACTTTGATACTGCAAAAATATATTCCTTTCATGTGAACCAAATATACCATTTACTTTGGATACTGCAAGTAGATATATCATTTACGAGAAACAGATTAAGCACCGACTTTGGATGCTGCAAGTATGCATCTCATTTACGTTAACGAGATGGAGCATTGACTTTGGAAAGTATTGGATAAATATGCTTGCTCCATATATCATCTAATTTCATCTCCCAATACCCCTTTTGACTATAGACCAATCAGCATTCTTCCTACCCTTCTAAATGCCTTAAAAGAATGTGCATGATAAATTCTCAATTTTTATGGAAGAGAACAAAATCATATCAAATTTTCAATCTGGGTTTCGCACTAAATATAGCACAACCATTGCTTTGTTGAAAATTACAGATGACATCCGCCGTTCAATGGATAATAGACAGGTCACAATTTTAACCCCCTTTGACTTTGCTAAGGCGTTTGACTGCGTATACCATCCTCTTTTGCTCCCTAACTGCACTTGGCTGGTTTTTCTGACAACTGTGTTGACTGGATTGAGTCCTATTTATCTGATCGTCAGCAGTGTGTCAAAGTCGGTGACAAATGTTCTACCTGGAAGCATATTACTAGAGGTGTTCCTCAAGGATCTGTTCTTGGCTCACTACTGTTCTCAATTTACATCAATGACATCATAGAACATATCACTAACTCACACTACCATCTGTATGCCGACGACGTACAGATTTACTCCCAATTCAATGTAGACGAGATGGATATTGCTGTACGACTCATGAACATTGACATTGTATCGATAACTCACTGGGCCACAAACAACGGACGGGATGGTTGTTGACTACCTCAGGCTAATGACTAAAATTAACTTACTCACTGCACCACGACTTAACTTTGACGTAAAGGATCTCACCTACTGCGAAAAAACTTAGGACTCATAATGAACAAACATTTGAATTGGTCTGAACAAGCGAATTCCACTTGTAATTGATGTGGTGATCAAATTACTTGACTAATGAAGTTTCTAGTAGACTTCCGCGAGCGCAGAATTCCTGTATCAGATTCATGTTTGGCCTTAGGTGATATGACCATATGTAACTCCCTATTTCAACCTGCTTTCATTGATGAAGTTAAATAAACTTCGGGAATTTCACACCCTCCGTCTTCTGCACTCCATTATCAATAGTAAAATTCCCAATTATTTATCAGACAACTTCCATTTGATTTCTGACATCAGCACCCGTGCCACTCGTACAGGCTCTCACCTTTTATCCACACCAATTCACCGGTCAACAGTTTTCAACAAATCTGCAATTCGAATGTGGAATTCTCTTCCTGACCATATCAAATCCATAGAAAACCGTGCGAGGTTTGGGTCAGAGATTAAATCTATTATATTGAGCAGCAGGCATGAGTGAGTCTCTGGCACTGGTGTAAGAGGTTGTTGGCTGCTTTTGTGAATGGGATCTTTTGACTATCTACTAAATTTAATTTCTTCATGTTTACTCATTTAATGTAACACTTAAGATGATTTAAATTTACTTATATAGGTGAATTAGTTTTATTTATTTATGTTTTAGAGGTTAAGTGGTAGAGAGGACTTACACAAGTCCTAACTTTGCCTCCTAAATAAAGACATTTTTCATTTCATTTCTATTGGTAGAACATAGATCCTCGACTGACAGAGATATTCATTAGTACATCTGCAACACATACGTATTGAAAACAGTTGATTTTTTTCAGTATGGTGGTAACGAAAGTATACCCCTTGGAGCTTGGATTAAGTAGGCACTTTCACACTGTTAAATAACAATGATTTTGAATCAGGAAAGATTCCCAAAATCGTTTATATAGAATTCAAAAACACTATATATATACCGTAAGGTATTTACATTTTTTAGTTAATTTATATTCAGTATTTCTTTTACGTTTTATGTTTTAATTGTAAATTTTAGAACAGTTTTTCGTATGTGTAGGCTATAGTGTAACTAATTAAGTAATTATAGTAGTAATTGGTAATTAGTAATTGGCAACTGTCAAAATCAACAGGATTCAGTTGCCAGCAACAGGTTCTCTAACCAAAGTGAGGTTATCTGACATTATAAAAACCATGGTTTTTAACCCTAATTGTTTTACTCTTTTCAAATTGACTATGACTTGTACTGTCTTAAATGTTGTGAAACTTTCTACGAAACCCAAAGGGTGGATTCTATTTTAGAAAATTTGGTCTACTAGATTCCGACTGATGATGGACCTTCGGGCCCGAAATTAATTTCGGATCAAAAAACAGGATTGCTAAGGTAAGGCCTTATAATATCAATTAATATATAAGCAATCCAGAGGCTAAAATGATTGATATAATATTAACATGGTCCTTGGTCTGCATTAAAAACATATGATGTTTTATTATTGATGCAGCTGTTTACAAATAAATCAAAATTAGTGTTGGTGATTGTAAAAGAATGAAAATATGTTTATGTTAACATTTTCTTTCATTAACTTTAATAATATAATAAATCATATAAAAACAAATACCAATCACTCAGGAATTGTAATGGAGGTTCCAACTAAGCTATAGGTGTGCAATAAGAAGCTCTTTCGAGAAATTTCATCAGGGCTCTGTCCCATCTTGCGGGTTATCTTTAAAGTCCCCATAACATCCTTATGGAAAATGATTTGTTTTCATTTAAACTGATGAATACTTTTGAATCCAAAACTATTAATTAAGGATACTGCTGTTATATTTAATAAGTTTAAACTTGAAATTTTGTATTTTACTGCATAACACTTTTAGTAATCGTTAAATTAATTTAAATACCCCTCCTACAGCAAACCTGCAGACCGAGCAAATTTCCATTTACTTGGCTATATTTCTACTAAAATATTCCCTAAATTTGCCAGATTTATTTCCTATTAAATAACATTGATTTTAATGAGTACTTTGGTTTGCCACGGAGATGGTGCTTTAATAACCCAACAATAACTTGCAATCAAATAACATATCCAAAAGGCAAACATGACCTAAATGACATTATATATATATATATATATATATATATATATACAAAAAGTTAATCTGTGTGTTGTGATAAGTTAATTATGGTGGTAGAAAAAATCGTGTTTGTATAACGAGCACAAACAATCATTACCTCTCTAGTTCTCGAGCGGCAATGACGTACTTTGCGCTCTCGTAGTTCAGTAACTGCCCTCGGGAAACTCAGTGTCGATAACTGATTACCTTGGTTGGTACCTGAGTAGATGGAGTCAGGTTAGCAGCAAACCTAAAGAGATCTAATTATTTATATTAATGTTATTGAAATAGAAAATGAATTTGACAACATCAAGGGAATGTTTTAGTGATAAATCCAACCAAAGCCTGCAGGTTTGCTGTGGCAGGGAGGGAAAGTTTTGCCGATCAAGGGTTACCAAAACGGTCACAACCATCAAAAACTCAAACAAAAAGTGTTGATGATTAGTAACTTTCTCAACATAGAAAGTTCAACATAGTAAGTATATGCTACGTGTAGGGGAGAAAGAGTAAAGATGAATAACTTTCTTTGACATTTCTCTTTATTTGATTGGGATCAGGGATAAAAAATTGCTATGGCTGTATAGGTAAGAAAAAGAAAGAATAACTAAGAGAAAATATACAAATAAATACAACTTGGAATATTTACTTTACAGGATAATCATCGATTAAATTGCGTGCCTATGATCTAGATTTAGTGATTAACTTCTCAGCCATCGATTTTACTTAGTTCACATACAAAACTACGAAACTGGTTACAATCGTAGTTAGCAAATCCCTCACGGGAAGCTGCCAAACAGTGGAAAAAACCACTAGGCTAACCAGCCCTCCAATGGGTATATGAAAGTGGTTGTCCAGTGGATCTCCATTGGAAATATGGATAATCGCCCTCGTCATTACCACCAATCCATGCACTAACGTCCAAAACTTTATCTGTCAACATAAACGATATTTATATCTTAAGGTGGAATAAAATAAACTGTATCAGCAACTTACATACAATTTCCACATTACCTTGACATTAAAATACTTGTGTTTGGATGTGTACAGTGCTACAGACTACACCTGTTGTCTGACTTTGATGAAATTTTGTATGTGGTGTGGTGAAATGCAGTAGTAGGAGTGTAAATGAAGATACCTGGGCCCAATATATCTTCCACTAACCACTACTAAATCACATAATTTCCTGTCGTTGTTCAAACTCTACTGGAAAGAAGCTAACTACTTCGTCAAAGTGCACAATAATACCTTAGCTGCGTATCACAGCCAGCTTTTATGTTATTTAATATACAGGGTGTCCCGAAACTCTCTACCAATATTTTAGGGCATTGATCCTGGGTAAAAAACATACCTAAATAAAATATTTAAATTGTCCGGAAGTCCTTAGTTACTCACACAGCCGCCATTTTGTTGTTTTCAGTTATTAATTTTTTCTAAAGAATGCGGTTAAACATACGAAATGCAAACATTTATGACATCTAGACAAAGCTACAAAAAAATTATGAAGATTTTTCAAATTCATAAAACAAAATGGCGGCCATTTAAAATTTTCTTTCTTAAATAACTCAAAAAACATTGATTTTACAAAAATTTTAAATGGCCGCCATTTTGTTTTATGAATTTGAAAAATCGTGATAATTTTTTGGCAGCTTTGTCTAGTTGTCATAAATGTTTGTGCAAAGTTTCCATTTCGTATGTTTAACCATTCTTTAGAAAAAAATAATAACTGAAAAAAAACAAAATGGCGGCTGTGTGATTAACTAAGGACTTCCGGACATTTTAAATATGATGTGTAAGTTATGTTTCCTTCCCAGGAGCAATGCCCTAAAATATTGGTAGAGAGTTCCGGGACCTGTATATATAATTTAATATAGTGAACAGAGTAATAATTATATAACTGGACTTATTCTGATTCGTAATAGTAACTAGGTGTAGTTAACGTGAATTCAAATATAAATTTCATAAATTTTGAATATTGATCACCAGATCACGACCATTCAGTAAACTTATAAAATTACATAATTATTGACTAGTTCGTTGCCCTAGCCTACACCCTTTGCCAACCCCTACTATATACTCTACTCATTATACTAGTACTCATCCAAAAGTAGACGTCCTGCTGGTGGCAAACGCAACACTACACTGCACTCTGTCCGTCGTCTATTTGCGCGGGTGAATCCTTCGGTGAATCTGCGTGCGCACCTAGCCTACTAGGTCTAATTACATGAATAATTGGTATTATTAACTACAGCTTTTCATAGTGAACACATATGATACACACAAAAGCGTTCGTTTTCAGAGTGAGTTCATTTTCAGTTTTGATAACTGAAGTGGAGTGATTGATTACATTATTTTTTAATTGACTCTTTTAAGTAATCGGAAATTATAACTGTTATTCGTTTTAAAATAACGCCTGGAATACTTTGCAATTGCTCGAATTCGAGCAACATGTGCACTATAGTCCTTATATAATACGTAAAGGCATTTCTACGAAACACTACTACTCCGTTAATAATGGACAGATTTTCACAAACGATGTGTCAAAATTAAGCAATTTTTGTATAGACGCCCCTTTCACCAATTCCTGTAATAAAGGTTTTCGGGCTTTGCCCCACAGGCCATCAAAATCCCAATGTATTCCTCATGAAGAAAAAATGTTGTTTACTTAAACAGAAGAATAATTTGTATTAATTACAGCTGTTAATAGTGAACACATGGGGAGCGAGCTGGCGTAGTGGCTAGAGCGCGGGACTTCGGTCCGTGAGGTCCCGGGTTCGATCCCCGCCAAGTCACCAATGGATTTAATCTAAGTGATAATGCCGGAACCCGTAGGTCTAGCCTGAAGTAATGTGAAAAACAATCCCAGGCTCGTGCCTAGCGTCTTAGGACAATAAAAAATAGTGAACACATGAAATATGCTAAAAGGAAAATACATAAGTGTGCTATTCCCGTCATATATGCGGAAGTCACCCACATTGCAAACAAAAAATCCCCTGATTGTATTGCCATCCTACTAATATTATAAATGAGAAAGTTTGGATGTATGGATGTATGGATGTATGTTTGTGACAAGTGAACGCGAAAAATACTGGTCGGATTGGGCTGAAATTTGGCATGATGATAGCTCACATTAACGATTAACATATAGGCATATTCTTATTTGCAGCACTATTATTTCTTTTACATTTATGACAACAGCTAATTTGCAACCAAAAGGTGAGTGAGCGTAGCGAACGAACTTCAACCTGGAGGCGAGTTAGCGTAGCGAACGAGCTAACCTGAAGGCAAGTGAGCGCAGCGAACAAGCTCCAACCTAAAGGTGAGTGGGCGTAGCGAACAAACTTCAACCAGGACGTGATTGAGCCATGCGAACGAGATAATCTTAAAAATTAAGAAGTTAAACGGGGCAAAGCCCACTGGTTACATCTAGTATAAGTATTTATTTTCAATGATTCCATCGGGGTTCGTGGCGTAGTTGATAGCTTCTCGGACTCGTAATCTGGAGGTCCCCATTTCGAATCCCGCCGGTCCAAGATTTTGCTTAGATTGCGAATACTTCTTAACAGTTTGTTAGAATTTGAGGCATTTATAATTTTATTTTTTATAATAACAAATTTTAAAATTAATTTTATAATTAAAAATTAATCATAAGTAAACCTTCATTAGATTTTTATTTTATATCTTTTTTCTATTATCAGCAAGTTTGGTTGGTTAGGTTAGGTTATGACGGTTTAATTTTATAATTAAATATTTTAAAATTAATTTTATAATTAAAAGTTAATTATAAGTAAACTTTCATTCGATTTTTATTTTATATCTTTTTTATATTATCAGCAAGTTTGGTTGGTTAGGTTAGGTTATGACAGTTTGATTTTATAATTAAATATTTTAAAATTAATTGTATAGTTAAAAAGTTAATTTTCTCACAAAAATATTATAAAATCAATTTTAAAGATTTTCTTAAATCGACGTGAGGGGCTCTCCCACAATCCCCCACTCTTTCGCAGAAAAGGTTCTCATCATTTTGCGGGTGGGGAAACTGAGATGCTAGTCTATAAGTAGTACTTACTAAAAGTACCTAGATTGGTGCTACCCTAACCTTGCCCAACGTTATCTACGGCGAATCGTCCCCACTCCGACTACAGGAAACGCTTCTCACTAGCATTGCCGACGGCGTCACGGGCAGACGTCCGTACATACCTACATCATTTTACATACACTCTTTCAATCTCATTGTTTCACAATTAACTTCATTTTATGTCAGTCTTCATTTTTCTTAACTTAATATATCATTCATTTTTAACTTCACCAGTGCTAGTCATTTCCCTTGTTGTTGCCCCCGCACCCTTGGTCTACACCGCTGCTGTCTACACCGCTTCCACCCCCTGGACTACACACTACCATGGACGAGACGGACATCATCCACCTTCGAGACACCCGACAAGGTAACGGTAGCACCAGAATTAGCTTTGTTGTGTTCAAACCGCCGTCAGGCTTTCCGCTTAAGACCGTACACTTAATGTTTTTTTTTTCTTTCTAGAAAATTCCACATCCTGTTTATCTTTTCAAATACCTTATAAAAGGCTGATACAACGGTTATTGGCCTGTTACTACTGCAAAGCTTAGGGTCACCTTTTTTGAATATTGATCTCATTACAGAGACCTTTAAGTGCTTGGGTATATTAACCACTCAAAAATAAAACGTTGACTAAATGGTATAAGGGCTTTGCTATGTAAATTGCAACTTTTTTTAATAATAAGGGGGATATTTCATCAACAAAAGCCGATTTCTAGTTTTTTTAGCTTTTGATTGTATCTAAAACCTCTTCCTAAGTTGTTGGGAGAGCGTGGTTATGTGTTTAAAAAGCTACTTACTACCGATGGTTGAAGCAAAATTGTTCCATTCGTCATCATTTTCGATTGCCGCCAGATTCATTCCTCGATATTCGCAGTGTGAATAGGCGTCCCACCATGATTTCTGCAACACATAAATGGACAACAAGTTGGTCTATTTACTGATTTTTTGGCTTCAAAATAGTTTCTTGAAATTTTCACAAATCATTATTTAATTTCTATAAAGACTTCTTACATTGCATAGTAAATAAAACAATTAATTACATCATTGAACTCCGCTCGTCCACACAGGAATAAAGATTCCAATCTACGGCTTAAAATTAAGTACGGCTCCATTAAAAATTAAGATCATACTACTTCCTTTATTGAAAATTCTTTTGTGTTGTACTAAATTAATATAAAAAATGATTTAGACACATATTTCAATGGTTGAGTAACAATTATAAGAAACAAATTAAGAAATGCTTTACTAATAATGTACAAATTTGTTTATGCTATAACATTCAAGTTACAAATTCAAGAGAAAAAAACAATTTTGAGTTTTCAGGATTTGCAGTGGTAAACGTAGTATACTTACCTTTTCATTGACAAGTATGAAGGTTTTTTTCCCTTTAATTGGTTTTTGTATGTTTTCCTTATTGTCAGTTGAACCTGCAACAACCTCACCAATTGTAAATCTAAGCTATTTCGATCTTAAACTACAAAATTGACTCGTTCTTTTAGTAAATCATCGAAAACAAAACTAAAAACTGACATACTAACATGGGTCATTGAATTGAAACTGCTATAACTGAACTGACTTTAAAATTGTGATGGTTGGATCTATAAGTTCTAAACGGTTTCAAAAGACTGTTGTTTTAGAAAGTGCTTTGACTTAGCTGGCTTTTAGCTAGTTTCCCTATAGGGAAGTAGCTATTACCGTAGGTAGCATGGTAAGACCTGGAGCCTGAACCGATTAGCTTTTTATTTTAATGTCCCAAGAGGCCAAAAACACTATTAGTTCAAATTTGTATACATGTAATAATTGAGAAATCTGTTAATTACATATTTTTGGTCGAGTTTTCGACCTACGGATGACCTCTAGTTTAAATAAAATTACTGTAATTTCTTGTTATTCAAACTAACATCCTGCATCAACTGCAAGTGAGAGTGGAGTAGTAAAACTGTTTCACGTTCTTTGTCTGTAAAACTACCTAGGAAATCTGTTCACTTATCTGGTGAGATGACTAATTAAAAGTGTGATACTGGCCTTGGGTGGACAATAGTAAGTAAAAACGCTAAGTGATGATGATCTGTATAGCTTCAATGGGCTACAGTGTTGGGACAATTGACTATACCTACAGATATATAGTCAATGGTTGGGACACATCATTTCTATTATACTCACAGTCACTGTAAGGCACACATTCATTGAAGGCATCTCCTTTATACCCAACTTTACATGAACACACAGGGTAGTGGTTCTTGACGTGACATTCTGTGTTATTGCCACACACTCCGTCTTCACAAGGATCTACACACTTCTGCAGACGACATGAGCGGTCCTCCGGACAATGAGAATGAGTCTGACATTCCGGGATCCCTGTGACACAAGAACATTACAAATATATAGCTGTTGGAACTATCCAATATATGTCGAATCGTCTTTCTAGGATGCCAGTGAGGGGAAAATAAAAATTCAATACTAGAACTGTTTGAGGGTTGGAGCATAGACAAATTTTAAATAGAATAAATATAGACTGTCAAAAGAAGGTTCCACGATGATGCACTAGAGCGTGCTCGGTATTCGATTCGCTGCCGTCGTCGGCTCCTCCTCGCCTGCAGCCTTCTACCAGCAGACGCTGCAGCGGTGTAGAACTGCTTGAGGGTTGGAGCATAGACAAATTTGAAATAGAATAAAAATAAAATAGTCAAAGAACGGTTCCGCTATGTGTCGCTAGAGCATGTTTGATTCGTTACCGTCGTTGGCTCCTCACCGTATGCTACCAGCAAACGATGCAGCGTTATGTACCGTAACTACATGGCACTACTAGCGGTGGACGCCAGACCAAATGCTAACCCCAGCACTTCTGTCGGTCTATATTTAATTATTTTTAATTATTATTACGTTTTGCACTGACATGCCAGCATCAATGTGGCAACATAAGAACCATTCAATAACATATTGAAGCCATCCAACACGTTCTGACGTTCTGACCTGACATGCTAGCATTAGTGTGGCAACATAAGTACCACACAATAACAAATTGGAGCCGTCAAACATGTTCTGCTCTGATATGTTAGCATCAGTGTGGCAACATAAGAACCATGCAATAACATAATGGAGCCATCCAATACGTTCTGACCTGACATGTTAGCATCAGTGTGGCAACATAAGTACCATACAATAACAAATTGAAGCCATCCAACACGTACTGCTCTGACATGTTAGCATCAGTGTGGCAACATAAGTACCATACAATAACAAATTGAAGCCATCCAACACGTTCTGCTCTGACATGTTAGCATCAGTGTGGCAACATAAGAACCATGCAATAACATATTGGAGCCATCCAACACGTTCTGCACTGACATGTTAGCATCAGTGTGGCAACATAAGTACCATACAATAACAAATTGGAGCCATCCAACACGTTCTGCTCTGACATGTTAGCATCAGTGTGGCAACATAAGAACCATTCGATAACATATTGGAGCCATCCAACACGTTCTGCTATGACATGTTAGCATCAGTGTGGCAACATAAGAACCATGCAATAACATATTGGGGCCATCCAACACGTTTTGCTCTGACATGTTAGCATCAGTGTGGCAACATAAGAACCATGCAATAACATATTGGAGCCATCCAACACGTTCTGCTATGACATGTTAGCATCAGTGTGGCCACATAAGAACCATGCAATAACATATTGGAGCCATCCAACACGTTCTGCTATGACATGTTAGCATCCGTATGGCAACATAAAAACCATTCAATAACATATTGGAGCCATCCAACACGTTCTGCTATGACATGTTAGCATCAGTGTGGCAACATAAGAACCATGCAATAACATATTGGAGCCATCCGTTCTGACCTGACATACAAGCAACAGTGTGGCAACATAAGTACCTAACAATAACAAATTGGAGCTGTCCAACACGTTCTGCTCTGATATGTTAGCATCAGTGTGGCAACATAAGAACCATGCTATAACATAATGGAGCCATCCAATACGTTCTGCTATGACATGTTACAATCTTTGTGGCAACATAAAAATCATGCAATAAAATAATAAAGCCATCCAACACGTTCTGCTCTGACATTTTAGCATCAGTGTGGCAACATAAGTACCATACAATAACAAATTGGAACAATCCAACACATTCTGCTCTGACATGTAAGCATCAATGTGACAACATAAGAACCATGCAATAACATATTGGAGCCATCCAACACGTTCTGCTATGACATGCTAGCATCAATGTGACAACATAAGAACCATGCAATAACATAATAAAGCCATCCAACACGTTCTGCTCTGACATTTTAGCATCAGTGTGGCAACATAAAAATCATACAATAACAAATTGGAGCCATCCAATACATTCTGCTCTGACATGTTAGCATCAATGTGACAACATAAGAACCATTCAATAACATATTGGAGCCATCCAACACGCTCTGCTCTGACATGTTAGCATCATAGTACAGTGCAATTAGCTTAAAAAAGGAGCAAACCGGGACATCCAAAAAAAAAGTTTCAAACCAGTGCCAAATTGTTGAATAGACTTCCCTCAATGTGTAAAAAAAAGTTACACTGATTTGAATGTCGGGTTTGGGGGGGAGGGGGTAAAAATGGGGTTAAAATAGGACATTTTTTACTTTTTCACAAATACCTCAAAAACTGTGCGTTTTTCTTTAAATACAATGAATTACAAAAATAATCTACATTAAATTTCGAACAAAATGATACCATACAATACCTATCTACTATAAACGGTTCAAGAGATATTGGGGGGTAAATGTGATTTTTCCTTAAAATTCTAAAAAAAATTGGTTTTTAAATAGTAAAAAACCATGGACACCCATAGGAAAAGTTTCTAATAAGTGCCAAATTGTTAAATAGACCTCCCTTAATACGTGTAAAAAATTTACACTGATTTGAGTGTCGGATTTGGGAAGTAGGGTTTAAAGAAAATGGGGTTAAAATAGGACTTTTTTTACTTATTCGCTAATACCTCAAAAACGGTGCGTTTTTCTTTAAATACAATGAATTACAAAAATAACCTACATTAAATTTCGAACAAAATGATACCACACAATACCTATCTACTATGAACGGTTCGGGAGATATTGGGGGATAAATGTGATTTTTCCTTAAAATTCTAAAAAAATTGGTTTTTAAATGGTGAAAAACCATGGACACCCATAGAAAAAGTTTCTAATGAGTGCCAAATTGTTGAATACACTTCCTTAAATATGTAAAAAAAAGTTACACTGATTTGAGTGTCGGGTTTGGGGGGGAGGGGGTAAAAATGGGGTTAAAATAGGACATTTTTTACTTTTTCACAAATACCTCAAAAACGGTGCGTTTTTCTTTAAATACAATGAATTACAAAAATAATCTACATTAAATTTCGAACAAAATGATACCATACAATACCTATCTACTATAAACGGTTCAAGAGATATTGGGGGGTAAATGTGATTTTTCCTTAAAATTCTAAAATAAATTGGTTTTTAAATAGTGAAAAACCATGGACACCCATAGGAAAAGTTTCTAATAAGTGCCAAATTGTTAAATAGACCTCCCTTAATACGTGTAAAAAATTTACACTGATTTGAGTGTCGGATTTGGGAAGTAGGGTTTAAAGAAAATGGGGTTAAAATAGGACTTTTTTTACTTATTCGCTAATACCTCAAAGACGGTGCGTTTTTCTTTAAATACAATGAATTACAAAAATAACCTACATTAAATTTCGAACAAAATGATACCACACAATACCTATCTACTATGAACGGTTCAGGAGATATTGGGGGATAAATGTGATTTTTCCTTAAAATTCTAAAAAAATTGGTTTTTAAATGGTGAAAAACCATGGACACCCATAGAAAAAGTTTCTAATGAGTGCCAAATTGTTGAATACACTTCCTTAAATATGTAAAAAAAAGTTACACTGATTTGAGTGTCGGGTTTGGGGGGGAGGGGGTGAAAATGGGGTGAAAACAGGACTTTTTTTACTTTTTCGCAAATACCTCAAAAACGGTGCGTTTTTTCTTAAAATACAATGAATTACAAAAATAATCTACATTAAATTTCGAACAAAATGACACCATACATACCTATCTACTATGAACAATTCAGGAAATATTGGGGGGTAAATGTGATTTTTCTTAAAATAAAAAAATTGTTTTTTAAATGGTGAAAACCACGGACAACCCATAGAAAAAGTTTCTAATGAGTGCCAAATTGTTCAATAGACCTCCCTTAATATGTGTAAAAAAGTTACACTGATTTGAGTGTCGGATTTGGGAAGAAGGGTTTATGAGAAATGGGAGGGGAATGGGGCGTTCTTTACTATTTTACAAATATCTCGATAACGGTGCCTTTTTCTTAAAATAAAATGAATTACAAAAATAATCTACATTAAATTTAGAACAAGATGATACCTTACAATACCTATCTACCATTAACGGGTAAGGAGATATTAAAGGGTAAATGTGATTTTTTCTAAAAGTTGTTTTTAGCGAATTTCCCATATAGGGAATAAGCTATTACCGTAGTACTCATGGTAAGACCTGGACCCGGGACTGATTTATTTTTTCGTTTTGAGGTCCCTAGAGGCAAAAAACACCATCCGTTCAAATTCATATCTATAAGATTTGTTCATAACTGTGATCATGGCCTAAGAGCCGAAACATGTAAGTTTATTTAATAAATTAATAACTTTAAAAAAGGGTACTAAATGTTTAATTATTTATTTCATTTATTAATATATATATATATATATATATATATATATATATACAATTGTTTGGATAAAGGGCTACTATTATAAATAATAAAGAAAGCATACTAACTCAGTACCCTGAAATTATTTTTATTTTTAAAACTAAAATACCCCCGCTGCAGCAAACCTGCCGACTAAGCGAATTTCCATTTGTCTGAATTGATTTTCAGTTAAATATATTTTATAACATTAGGTTTAACGAGTACCTAGGTTTGCTGCTACAAGGAAACTAATAAAGTGTGTTTTTGAGTAAAATATTGATAGCTTAGTACAAAATAAATAAATTTGCCAAGTTTGATCAAAATATATCCATAAACAAGCAAACTACAACATTTGACAATATTCTCCATAAGAATAACATGGGAATTTTAAATTTACAATTTTTTAAATTTTCTCCGTTACTAACAATAAAACAAAAATACTTTTATATACTAAATTATTTGTTTTTTTAAGCTCTTTAAAAAGGTCTAAAGAGAAATCGGGAAATTTTCTGTTTTGAGGGTCAAAAGTGAGAAAAACCAATTTTTACCCCATAAAACCCCCCGTAAAGCCCCGTTCCCATGGTCCGATCGTGCTGGTTCGCGAACTCATTCAAGTTTATCCCGCTTTACACCTTTAAACCAAGTTTCATCAAAATCGGACAAAAATTACTCAAGTTATCGCGTTCACGGACGTATATATATATATATATATATATATATATGTCTATATATATATATATACATATATAAAAATTTGAACGAATGGTGTTTTTGGCCTCTGGGGACATCAAAATGAAAAAGTCAATCGGTCCCGGGTCTAGGTCTTACCGTGCCACCTACGGTAATAGCTACTTCCCTATAGGGAAATTCGCTAAAATGATCCGATTTTGATGAAATTTGGTACAAACGTGTAAACCTACATTTATTCGAACGAGTTCGCCAACCAGCATGATCGGACTATGGGTCATCATCATATGCTGACGCCATCTATCCAGTGTCACTGGTCAAAGATGAAGGGAAGAAGTATGAAGTAAGTATGGAACAGGGGTTTATGGGGGGTTTTATGGGGTAAAGATAGGTTTTTCCCATTTTTGACCCTAAAAACACAAAATTTTACAAATTTGTCATAAGTGTTGCTAGCCTATTTCCAAGCGTACACGGATTACGTGCATAATAAAAGCACGCTGTTTTGTGTTGTTTGGTTGGAATACTGGTGTGCGACAAAGGGAAAACCGTACGACAACGTAAAAACTGCGACAAAAGTAAGTCTATGCAACAATTAGCAGCTTTCTGTACTATAATCTGCTAAATATAATATGTGCAAGGAAGTCCACTTTGTCGGGTGACTGTAGGAAAATAACTATTGTAACACGGATATTTTTACTTAATAAATAATCAATGATAAAACACACTTATGAATTCAAACGGTAGAAAGTTCACTGTGTTCACGTATCTAGGTAGATTTGTTGTTTCAGGTAGGTAAGTCATTAGTTAAATTGTCGCTATATATGTGTTAAAAAGGAAAATAAAAAGTGTCACATAAAACATTTACAAAATTACCTATGAATAAAATTCCCTACACCGTTTTCACACCCTCCTACCCGCAACTGGCAGGAAAATCAGTGTAACTTTTTTACACATGTTAAGGCAGGTTTACCTAGCGATTTGGCACCAATTACAAACTTTTTTTATGGGTGTCCGTGGGTTTCCTCCATTTAAAAAAGCCAATTTTTTATTGCATCAGTAAAAATCACATTTACCCCTCTATATCTCCTGAACCGATCATAGTAGATAGGTATTGTATGGTATCAATTTGTTCGAAATTTACTGTAAATTATTTTTGTAATTCATTGTATTTTAAGAAAAACGCACCGTTTTTGAGGTATTTGCGTAAAAGTAAAAAAAGTCCTATTTTCACTCCATTTTCTTTAAACCCTACTTCCCAAATCCGACACTCAAACCAGTGTAACTTTTTTACACATATTAAGGGAGGTCTATTGAACAATTTGGCACTCATTAGAAACTTTTTCTATGGGTGTCCATGGTTTTTCACTATTTAAAAACCAATTTTTTTTAGAATTTTAAGGAAAAATCACATTTACCCCCCAATATCTCCTGAACCGTTTATAGTAGATAGGTATTGTATGGTATCATTTTGTTCGAAATTTAATGTAGATTATTTTTGTAATTCATTGTATTTAAAGAAAAACGCACAGTTTTTGAGGTATTTGTGAAAAAGTAAAAAATGTCCTATTTTAACCCCATTTTTACCCCCTCCCCCCCAAACCCGACACTCAATTCAGTGTAACTTTTTTTTACACATTGAGGGAAGTCTATTCAACAATTTGGCGCTGGTTTGAAACTTTTTTTTTGGATGTCCCGGTTTAGGTCTAATTGCACCGTACTATCAATGTGACAACATAAGAACCATGCAATAACATAATAAAGCCATCGAACACGTTCTGCTCTGACATTTTAGCATCAGTGTGGCAACATTAGTACCATGCAATAAAATTAAAAGCCATTTAACACGTTCTGCTATGACATGCTAGCATCAGTGTGGCAACATAAGTACCATACAATAACAAATTGGAGCCATCCAACACGTTCTGCTCTGACATGTTAGCATCAATGTGACAACATAAGAACCATTCAATAACATATTGGAGCCATCCAACACGTTCTGCTCTGACATGTTAGCATCAATGTGACAACATAAGAACCATGCAATAACATAATAAAGCCATCCAACACGTTCTGCTCTGACATTTTAGCATCAGTGTGGCAACATTAGTACCATTCAATAAAATTAAAAGCCATTTAACACGTTCTGCTATGACATGCTAGCATTAGTGTGACAACATAAGTACCTCACAATAACAAATTGGAGCCGTCCAACACGTTCTGCTCTGATATGTTAGCATCAGTGTGGCAACATAAGAACCATGCTATAACATAATGGAGCCATCCAATATGTTCTGACCTGACATGTTAGCATCAGTGTGACAACATAAGTACCATAGAATAACAAATTGAACCCATCCAACACGTTCTGCTATGACATGTAAGAATCAGTGTGGCAACATAAGTACCATGCAATAACATAATGGAGCCATCCAACACGTTCTGACCTGACATGTTAGCATCAGTGTGGCATCATAAGAACCATTCAATAACATATTGAAGCCATCCAACACGTTCGGCTATGACATGTTAGAATCAGTGTGGCAACATAAGAACCATGCTATAACATAATGGAGCCATCCAATACGTTCTGACCTGACATGTTAGCATCAGTGTGGCAACATAAGTACCATACAATAACAAATTGGAGCCATCCAACACGTTCTGCTATGACATATTAGCATCAGTGTGGCAGCATAAGAACCATGCAATAACATAATGGAGCCATCCTACACGTTCTGATCTGACATGTTAGCATCAGTGTGGCAACATAAGTACCATACAATAACAAATTGAAGCCATCCAACACGTTCTACTATGACATATTAGCATCAGTGTGACAACATAAGTACCATACAATAACAAATTGGAGCCATCCAACACGTTCTGCTTTGACATATTAGCATCAGTGTGGCAACATAAGAACCATGCAATAACATAATGGAGCCATCCAACACGTTCTGATCTGACATGTTAGCATTCATTGTGGCAAAATAAGAACCATGCAATAACACATTGGGGCCATCCAACACGTTCTGTTGGACCGATACACCAACATATGTGCATAAGAAAATATTTAACTAGGAATATTTTGCATTTCGTGGCTAAACCTCACCAGACTCACGCCTATCATCACTACAATTGGTTATCTCTCTTATCTTACTCTAGCAATGCTTCATGACAGTCTGCAGGTTAAGCTATTATTTAAACACTCGTCGAATCTGCTCACAGAACATTCCTAATCACTTCCCTTTTATAATCTAGTAATATCTAATATCCTAACAGTAAATCAATTTAAATTTTTGAAGTTAGGTTTCAGCATTTCAAATAATTTCTTACTCTCAGGAAGGCAGCCTTTGCCTATACTGTAGGAGAATCCCTTGAGGCAGGCACACATTGGTCGATGGTTGACCACTCTACACACAGTATTAATGCCACAATGATCCATACAAGGGTCTACACACTTGTGACCAATACAGGTCTTGTCTGTTGTACACATGGAGTCGTCCGTGCATTCTGCATCAACTATAAATATAAACATATCTTAAACACGGTATGTAGTAAAAAGTTTAGTGTTAAATTTGTATATATAACAATACTTAATACAGGGTGCGGCAAAAAACCGACCTGTTTTCTGCAGAGCACTGTTCAGCGACAGGTCGTCTGAGAGTGGTGGGAGTAGGCTCGTTGGAATCCCTACACAATGCCACTTTTTGTAGTCATAGAGCAGTGGTCGCCTGAGCTACGTGCGGTTGCTATGGAGTTGTTTTTAAAAAGTATTGAATTCATTCATTGCAACTCAGCGGCATCGGCAGTTTCATGTATTCATTCAATATACATGGAGTACATGTATGTACAATGGCGACATGGAGAAGTTCCGTTGCGTATCACAATAATTTGGTGGCTTACTAACTTTACAACAGCGGCTTCCACGTTGAAAAGGAAGCTGACAGCCCGTCCAAAGTCAATCGGATGCAAGACAACTAACATTCGATAGAATTCGTTATGCTGTGGAAAACAGTCCTCGCAGGCCCGCCCGAAAACAAGCGGCTTGCCGAACATGCCTGACTGCTCAGTTACACGAATTTTGAGGTTAATTTTTATCCCTACAGAATAATTAGAATAATAACCTGTTTAATTGTGTTATCCATACAGATAATCACGATGGAACCTCTCCATGTCGACCTAATAAATAAAAGTACGGAACTGCTGCTGAGTTGCAATGACTGATTTACTACTTTTTAAAAACTACTAGATAACAACCGCACGTAGCTCATACAACCACTGCTCTATGATTACAAGAAATGGCATTATATAGGCTTTCCACAAGCCTACTCTTACCACCCTCAGACGGCCTGTCGCTGAACAGTGCACTGAATAAAATGGATCGGTTTTTTTGCCGCACCCTGTACTTTAATACTTTTAATACATTACAATGAAAATGCGACCATACAAAGTAGGTATTTTAAGCCAAGTATGAATGTAGATGAGTGTAGGATGAGTGGCGTGATCTTGTAGTCTTGTTAGTGTAAGGCAGACATATTCCTTAGACACAGTTGTTAATTAATAGCCCATACAGCTAATGGCAACTAAGGTACCTACAGTTTAGTGGAATCCAAACCACATATTTGCCTTTGGTATATACGAATTGGTCTAATTATCAGGATAGTACTAGAGATAGTCGTAGTAATCACCCGTGCGGACGTTAATCCACACCAGGGAGTATCGCATCCACAGTGCATGCCTATAAATATCCGTAATTCGTGACCTCCTAGTAGTTGGATTACAGGACGACGCCACCCGTCCCAATCAATCGATTTTGCCAAAGCCATTAAAAGATAACAGCTACAACAGGATGAAAAGTGTTGTCGTATTATAAAAGGGGGTTTCGAATAAAATTTAAAACCTCCCTTTACTTTATCCTCCTATCCTTATAATATAGAGGAAATGTTGTCTTTGTCAAAATATACGAGTTTATAAGTTTTGGGTCCTCCTAAAGCAAAGAAAATAAGTTCTTGCGTTTGTGTGTTTCTTGAGGGGGTTGATTCGTACACAGTTAATGACTACACCTGTGGTCATGGTTTTACTAATCCATAGTACCTTTAGATGTTATTTTTGAAGTGTTGAATTAGTTTGTGGTTTTTAAATACTCATAAAAATAAAAAATCTAATTTTTACAAAAACGACCCAAACAATTTGAACTGATATTTAGTATAGGCCCATTAACCCTGGAAGAAATAGCACGACTCCCAGCCTTATAAAAATTACTGTTCGAAAGCTATTGAACTTTGTGTGATATTTCCTAAAAAAAAAACCTGTTAGTCACCCCTTCCAATTACCAAATGCAAATGAAGACATTTTTATCTAGTGAAAAATAGTGGGATGTTTTTTATCCACCTTTCACCCTGGCCCCTTATGAACGAAAAACTACCTAATGGTTTGAAAACTGCAGAATCTAGGGAGTTTCTATATTACCTACTTTAATGAGGTAACAACAAAATTCGAAGCATTTGCATTCATCAACTATGAAGAGCAGATGAATAAATAAAACTATATGTTAACTGCTTCTTCTAGTGTTTTATTCGTCCAACTTGACATCCTTTTCTTTGTATTCGTAAATTTAGTCCTGCATACCTGGCTTACATTCCGTAAACGGGTCTCCTTCGTAGCCAGTTTTACAGGAACATAAAGGATCTCCTTCGTGTACCACACAAATTGTGCTCAGTCCACACACTCCATCACAAGGATCTGTGCATTTTTTAGCTATGCATATCTTCCCTGAATTGCACTCATCGTTCCTGAGACACTCTTCCCCTGAAACATAGATATTGTGTGCATACGTGATATGGTGTATACAATATTTAGACAGCCACCAACACTTTAGGAAACCAAATTCAACCATACTACTCCATTTTATGAACGTTTATGGCTTTTAAATCAAATGAGTAGTGGAAACCGCCATTTTGGTTTGGACAGATTATAAATGTTGTATATAATACTGTAGTATCAGTAAATTTTCCAATAACATTTTCATAAACTTAATTCGCCGCTTTTTACTTATCTATATTCTTTATTTTTGACATTTTAAATGTCGATCTTTAAGTTTCAAAACTACTAATTGCTTAATTTGAATAAACGAATTTTATTAGGTGGAGTACATCGATCTCTTTAAAAAAAATCACAAATCCTACAACTACTCACAAGTCATAATAAATCATAAAAAACACAAACATCAGCTTGTATAAACTTTAGACATACTTTATGCCTTCTTATCAATAGTGTTTTGAATATACTATAAAGAAACAATACCGGGTGTCCACAAAGTCTTGGTCTGATAAGGAAACCGCATAGTATGAAAACGAGTAATAGTAGGATAAAGATTTATTTACGAATATAACAGGTAACTTCTTAAGATTTTATAACTATGTACAAACGAATCACAACTCAACTTGTGCGCCTCCAGTGGCCTGCAGATCTTCTAGACGTCTTTTCAGTTTGTCCCAGGTTTTGGTCAGCATATCCTGAGTTATAGACACCACAGAATTCCTGAATCCATCCCGCAAGTGTGTGTAAATTATGAACCAGGGAAGAATAGACAATGTTGTTGACAAATACCCACAAAAAGAAACCCATTGGGGGTTACATGGTGGGAACGAGGTGGCCATTTGGTCGGGCCATCACGCCCGATCCAGCGACCGTGAAAATGAAGATTTAAAAAATCCCTCACGGATTTAGCCCAATGAGGTGTAGCGCCTTCTTGCTGGAAAATTATCATAAGTTGCAGTTCTTATAATTGGGGGACTACATACAACTCCAACATAACCAAGTAAACAAACCCATTTACATTTTCTTCGGTAAAGAAAAATCATCCGATGATTTCATCATGCATTATCCCACACCTAAGATTAGTTTTGGACTGGCCCTTTCATTTTCAATCACGGTCCTGGGATTTTAGCTCCCCCAAATTCTACAATTATTGTGTCTGTTAACCTTCCCAGTTAAATGGATAGTCGTTGAACTGCTATATAGGATTGTGTTTTGTGAAACAACAACACAAACTTTGATTTCTCACCATTTTTGTAAACTCTCCATTTTTGATTTGTTATTATATTGAATCATGATTGTATTGTTGTCTATCAGCTGTGTTACGGTATTACCAATTTTATTAAATAAAACTTGATTATATTCCCTTCAAAACAAGGCATACAAGTTAAGTGTGGCTCTAATGGGTTTCGTACAGCAAAGCTATTAAATCAGACCAAGACTTTGTGGACACCCGGTATATAAGGGTGAATAAAAAGTCAAGACCCCCCCCTCTAATATTTTTCCAAGTAAATACACAGAGATATCCTTTTGGTGGTCGAGCAATCTTCGCAGGAAGTTTCATTTTATCATTTTGAAATTTTTGAGTGTCCCCCCAAAAGCTGGGATTTGGGGAGCAACTCAATTTTTTTAAATGTAAACCCCCTTCAAGTGACACCTCATTTTGAAGTGTTTACAAAAACTTAAAGAATGGTGAAAACTAGAGGTCGCTATCTCTTCTCTATCCAAAATGATGGTAGCCCGTCAAATGTTGTGGAAAATCTATGGTAAAATTGTTAATATTGGCTGCCATAAACAAACGAAACAAATATCAAAAGATCAAGTACTAAAAAATTTAATAGTATTAGGTTTTATTATATCTCTGATAATACACTACAAAAACATTAACAAACAACATAGCATACAAACCAGTTATTTTTACCATAGTTCCATACTTTCATTGTTTACTTTACATGTTGTTGTTGTGTACTTTATTTGAGTTGTTTACATGAAGATCAACCAACAACCAATATTAGATGAGTGAACGAAGTGAACGAATCTATGTATCGTGTATAGCGGAGTCGGAGAAAAGTTGTCCGCTTGTGTGTGTGTGTGTGTGTTCGCACCAAAAACTCAAGAACCGTTGCACTTATAGCGTTCAAATTTTGCACAAATAATTATGACACCAGTGGGAAGACCTCATTAAAATTCTAGACGATTCCGTTCAGTAGTAATTATAAAACCCTTAAAAACATTTTTAAATTTGTCCCATAAGAATAACATTAGGAGCTACCTTCTTCTTCTTTTTATTTGTTTACGTTTTGCGACCAACAATTTTGTTGTCTACTTAAGACAGAGAGAACGACTTTTACTCTAAGCTATTTCATTCATGGAGTAAACAGTTTGGCGTCTATGAATATATATCATTATAACTTCACAGGTTTCAGAATAATGTTGTTTAAGTTAATTAAATTTCACAACTTTCTGAATAATAAATTTAACTTTACAATATTAATCAGCAGTTATATACAGTTTATGTTCAGTATTAAAATTCACCTTTAAATTAAAAATATATATGTATCTATTTAGAACAAAGCAGCTTTTTACATTATTCAATTCAATGTTGGCATTTAATATTAAATATTCAAAGATGTTAGTAATACTAAAATGCTATGCGAAGGGGGGGGGGGAACAGGTCCACGACGTAGAGAGTGGCAAAGGAAGCGGAAAGGTGAGCAGTGCGGAGTGTGGAAATCCTTTGAGAATGTGAAATTAATATATCTGTAATACTCTGTAAATGCTATGGAAAGAGAGGGAAGCAGGTCTACGATGTAGGAAGTAGTGAAGGAAGTAGTCAAGGTGAGCGCTCCGGAGTGTGGAAAGCCTTTGTGACAGTTATAATAATTGAGCGGAGCGAGCGAAGCTCTTATACGTCGACTCTTATGCATTTCGTAATACGCAAACTCCTCCTAGACGGCTGAATCGATCGTTTTCAAATTTTGCATGGTGATAAAGACCATATCGGTGAGTGCCAACATCTATATGGCGTTAAAAAAATCTCTCAGGAATCCGCCCCACTGGGTCTCAAAGTTTCAATGTAATCCTTATGGAAGCAGTATTTGACACATAAACAAAAACATATGATCAGCTGTTGACTTTTGAATGCAGTAGATAAAGAAATAGCTGATAGCATTAATCCACAGATATTAGATCACAAACGGTATGGATCATAAATATAATCAAATGACGTCACTAGCTTGAGATCCGTGACGTAGGAAGTGGTTAAGGAAGTAGTAAAGGTTAGCAGTCTGGAGTGTGGAAACTGTTTATGACGATTAGATTTAGGTATATGCAATCCTAAAATGCTATTGGAAGGGAAGGAAACAGGTCCGCGCGACGTAGGAAGTGGTGAAGAAAGTAGTAAAGTTGAGCTGTTCGGTATATGGGATCTGTTTATGACCATTAGATTAAGGTATTTGCAATCCTAAAATGCTATGGGAAGGGAGGAAAACAGGTCCGCGACGTAGGAAGTGGTGAAGGAAGTAGTCAAGGCGAGCTGTCCGGAATGTGGAAACTGTTTATGACGATTAGATTAAGGTATTTGCAATCCTAAAATTCTATGGGAAGGGAGGAAAACAGGTCCGTGACGTAGGAAGTGGTAAAGGAAGTAGTAAATGCGAACTGTCCGAAGATTGGGAAATGTTTATGACCAATAAATTAAGGTATTTTCAATCCAATAATGCTAAGGGAAGGGAGGTAAACTTGTCCGTGACGTAGGAAGTGGTGAAGGAAGTAGTAAAGGCGAGTTGTACGGGGTATGGGATCTGTTTATGACCATTAGATTAAGGTATTTTCGATCCAATAATGCTAAAGAAAGGGAGGTAAACTGGTCCGTGTCTTAGGAAGTGGTGAAGGAAGTAGTAAAGGCGAGTTGTCCGGGGTATGGGATCTGTTTATGACCATTAGATTAAGGTATTTGCAATCCTATGATGCTATGGCAATGGAGGGAAACAGGTCCGTGACGTAGGAAGTGGTAAAGGAAGTAGTAAAGGCAAGCACTCCGGACTGTGGGAACTGTTAATGACGATTAGATTAAGGTATCTTCAATCCTAAAATGCTATGGAAAGGGAGGGAACAGTTAAAGGCGAGCTGTCCGGAGTGTGGGAACTGTTTATGATAATTAGATTAAGTTATCTGCAATCCTAAAATGCTACGGAAAGGGAGGGAAACAGGACCATGACGTAGGAAGTGGTGAAGGAAGTAGTAAAGGTGAGCTGTCCGGAGTGTGGGAACTGTTTATTTCGATTAGATTAAGGGATCTGCAATCCTAAAATGCTATGGAAAGGGAGGGAAACAGGTCCATGACGTAGGAAGTGTTGAAGGAAATAGTAAAGTCGAGTTGTCCGGAGTGAGGGAACTGTTTATGACGATTAGATTAAGGTATCTGCAATCCTAAAATGCTATAGAAAGGGAGGGAAACAGGTCCGTGACGTAGGAAGTGGTGAAGGAAGGAGTAAAGGCAAGCTGTCCGGAGTGTGGGAACTGTTTATGACGATTAGATTAAGTTATCTGCAATCCTAAAATGCTACGGAAACGGAGGGAAACAGGTCCGTGACGTAGGAAGTGGTGAAGGAAGTAGTAAAGACAAGCTGTCCGGAGTGTGGGAACTGTTTATGACGATTAGATTAAGTTATCTGCAGTCCTAAAATGCTACGGAAAGGGAGGGAAACAGGCTCGTGACGTAGGAAGTGGTGAAGAAAGTAGTCAAGGCGAGCTGTCCGGGGTGTTGGGAACTGTTTATGACGATTAGATTAAGGTATCTACAATCTTAAAATTCTATGGAAAGAGAGGGAAACAGGTCCGCGACGTAAGAGGAGGTGAAGGAAGTAGTAAGGTGAGCAGTTTGGAGTGTGGGAACTGGAAACCGTTTGTAGCAGTTAGATTAATGTACCTGCAATGCTAAAATGCTATGAGAAGGGATGGAAACATGCCCACGACATAGAAAATGGTGAAAGAAGTAGTAAAGGCTAGCAGTGCGGAGTGAGGTCAATGTTTGTGGCAATTAGATTAACGTATCTAAAATACTAAAATGCTATGGAA